AAACCAACAATAGAACACTACTTGTCATCACCTATAGCCCCAACTTAAACCCGTCCAACATATTATCAATAAACTACAATCTATACTGGAAAAGGATATTACCCTCCGAGAGGCTCTGGGAGACAGACCCATAGTCTCCTATAGACAACCATCTAACCTCAGGATGATTCTTACCAACAACCACAGGACATACCACACTAATATCAACCCTGGAACTTTCCCTTTCAACAAACCCCATTACCAGCTTTGTCCACATATTTACTCTGCTGACACCATCATTGGACCTAACCATTTCAGTTATAAAATCAAGAATACATATTCCTGCTCATCCAGAAATGTTTGTCCATCTGCTATGTATATTGGACAAACTTCTTAGACACTTTGCCAAAGAATCAATGCACACAAAACAGACATCAGACAATTTCACAAAGAAAAAACAGTTTCTTGCGATTTCAACCAGATTGGGCATTGTCTCAATGACCTGATATCCTGCTTCAAAGAGATTTTAACACAAGACTTTAAAGAGAAGCCTCAGAACTGTCATTCATGCTTAAATTTGACACTTTATGAATGGGCCTTAACAAAGATGCTAATTATCTTACCCATTACAAAGATAGCTTCACCAATTATCATCTCTAATATCATTATGTCATAGACATTAACCTCCTCCCCTCATTCCTCTTCTGTTCTAAAATCTGATTTGTCTATTTTATATGTGTTCATTTTTTTTTATTGTATCCCTTTGGTATATATGGTCATGCCAATTTTCTTCCACAATTTGATCTGAGGAAGTGGGTCTGGCCCACGAAAGCTCATCACCTAATAAACCATCTTGTTAGCCTTTAGAGTGCTGCATAGTCCTTGTCTTTTGTTTCAGCAAGACCAGACTAACACGGCTACATCTCTATTACTATGTGCTAAGTGACTCACAAGCAGTACAGGAAACCCCCAAGTTGCGATCCCGTGCACTTACAACCATTTTTTAAGTGCGAAAGGGACCAAAAAACCCCAACTTATGTCCTCAGCCCACATTTATGATGGGGCATGGTGTCTATCGTAAATGAGGGCTCGAATTATGATACCCCCGACTTGCGATGCTTCCCCAGGACCCGATTGTGTCACAAGTTGGGAGTGCCTGTATTTCTGAAGGTGGGCTTGGAATTCAGATATATTGACTATTACAACTGACCTCCCAAAATTGGCACTATTATAATAGGTGATGGCATAGGGTCATATGAAGGTATGAATTGATCACCATGTGATGGCACTACAAATATCCTGGATTGGAATCTGTGCAAGGAACCTTGTTGGTGAAGCCTGGGCCCTTATAGAATGGAATGTCATGATTGCTGGAGGCAGACCCTTCACTTACACATAGCAAGTCTGAATGCAGGCGTTTATCCAGGATGAGATTCTTCACCTTTCATCCTGTCCACTACAAAGAGCTGCATCGACTTTTGGAAGGAGTTAGTTGTTTCAGTGTAAAAGGACAGGGCCAGTCTAATCTAGTGTTTACAGGCGTGGTATCCAATTGTTGATATCCACGTTAGTACTGCATTATCTGCTATTTGTTCCCCAGCAGTACCTGGGGAGGGCAGGAACTTTGTTAGAAGGGGCACCTATAGCAAAGGCTATAAGGCAGCAATCAGACCCAGGCTGGGAAACTCTCCCCCCTTCTGCATACATCAGTTGGATTCTGTAAAGAGTGCACCCGCTTCCAGGACGTTTGACTCAGGAGCACTTTCCGGGGGTTGTCTTTCTGCCAGCTCACTAACTGTTCAGTATAGTACATTTTGTAATGCTTCTAGTGGAGCTCATTGGATTACGATGCATCATTTTGTGCGTGAATTTCCTGCATTCATATGATTACTTGGTTCTCCTTGATGCTTGCCACATACCCCAAATTAGAATTCAGTGAACTAATTTAACATGTAACTAATTTAACATTTTACATCTGTTTAATCCTTTGCATCTCTTCCACATCTTTTAAAATATGTTCAGTAGTAGCAGTATGCTTAAAAAACAGTCACTGTGGCATCTTTGAGCTGAACTGCCCCCATCTTTCAAAATATTCATATCCATCTAAAAAATGTGAAATCAGTCTTTATGTACGCACCACTGACATCTAATGGTGAGGTGTGGAAGAGCACTTCAAGAACTGATTTTGTTTGCATGGGCACACCCACCTTGCCTTGGTGTTCAGCATGAGAGGATTGCTTGTCCCAAATGATCACTTTGGGCTGGAGTTGGATCCCCAGTCTCCTTGTTGTAGAGGCAGACTTATAGGTTGAACCTCTCTAGTCTGGCACCCTTGGGACCTGACTGGTGCCAAACCAGAGAATATGCCAAATTACGGGAGGTCAGTATTTTCTAGCAGCATTACCAACACTTCCACTGCTTACTGGGCTCTTAGAAGAGATTTAGGGATAAATTAGAGCTAAACAACAGCACAGAACACTGCGAGCCAGGACTGGTAGCTGTAAACAAACAGCTTTATGAGACCGTAGTAAACTTAGCCACAGCCATGATAAGTGGACATCTGGCTAATCAAAATCATGCCAGGCCCTGAATGTTGCTGGATTATAGAGTGTCGGACTAGAGAGGTTCAACTTGTACTAAAGGATTGTTATCTGTGTTGTGGGACTTGAGGGCAGCCCAACTGTACCTAGCATACCTAAGTGGAGAGACTTGCCCTCAACTAAACAGCACTTGCTAAGCAGGGGACATGGCTTCCAAAGACTTGAGTTGAGAGAGTTTTATATTAGTATCTGGTAGTGTTGGTCTTAGACACCACTTGACCCTTTCTCTCTCCATGGTATAATCACAGAACTAAATTAGAATCAACTGAGAGTCTTGTTACATGCTGTGGAGCTGAAATCCCTAGTGCCTAGATCTTGGATTAGACCTACTGGGGGGACAGTGTTTCTGATGCAACAAGGCTGTGCAGTGTGCATCAGCAGTGAGGCTCCCCAACTAAGGCTATGTCTAGACTAGGGGTTTCTTGTGCAAGCAGCTTTTTTCAGAAGAGATCTTCCAAAAAAACTTATGCGAATGAGCGCGTCTACACTGCAGATGTGCATCAAAAAAGCAATGCACTTTTTCAAAAGATAGTGTCCAGCGATCCCACATGTAAGCAGTGATTGCTATTGACAGAATGGCCACTGGGGCACCTGTGCTTTTTCCTCTTTTTCTGAAAAAACCTCCCTCTTCCCCATCCACGCACGCCTTTTTTGCGAAAGAACTCCGCAAAAATGCTTCTTCCTCATAGACTGAGGATTACCAATTGCACAAAACCCCCTCTGTTCTTTCAATTTACTGTCAAAAGAATGCACTTGCAGTGTGGACATAACTCAGGTTTTGTCAGAAAAACAGCCTTTTTTCCGACAAAACTCTGTAGTCTGGACTTACCCTAACAGTTGAAAGCACTTAGCTGAGATCCTGGAGAGCTGTGTTAAGTGGGAGACCCTGAAGAAAACTTGGTGAATGGCCAGCAGAGCAGCTGGCAAGGAGAGGCACAGCCAGTAGTGTGGCTGGCAGTGAGGAGTGGCTAACAGGGCACCTAGTGAGTGTCTCAGCAGTGGAGTGTGTAGGTAGGGTGCCTCCTTACTCCCCTTCCACCCAAGGTGGGAGATGAATTATGCAGATGAACTTCTGAACTCTAGTGTTACACTGATCAAGGACAGCAACTGTGAGTGGGGTGCAGAGGAAGGATGTGCACGAAAGTACAGCAATGCAAATGTCCCTTTAAGAACCTGAAGGGAAAAGGCACTGCTCAACTTACCTGGGATGCGTCTTTTGGCTCATGGTTTATGTTTATGAACCCTTGCTGCAGTGTTTTCCCAAATTAATGCAGAGTTGCTTTTCTTCTTTTAATACAAGTTTTTGTTAGTCTGACTCTCTGCTTGTAAAAGGAGAAGTATGCCTTCTAGAGACACACAGGAGTGGGGTATAATTGGCCCAGGTCACTGGGTGGGGGCTGAAGCTGGTTCTGGTGTTGTATTATTGACAAGGAACCTCCAGATACTGAACCCAACCCTTGTTGTTGCCAACTCTGTCTGGCAGAAAGCTTACAATATATTTGTTGGGAGCTGAAGGTCTACAATTCAGTGTATGATGAGCTTTTACAGGATATACATGGCTATGACCGACCATACACGGTGGCAGGATGAAGAGGATCTAACCTAGGTGAATTGAATAAGTTAGTGATAAAGAATAGATTAATGACCTGTGCTTCTAATTACTGCAATTGTATCACCTAGCTAAAGATATAAAACATCACTTACAAAACTCACAATAAAAATCTTCACCCAGTTAACATAAAAGATACCTGAATGTTCATTATACTTATTCTGCTTTAATACAGTTTTTTCTAGAAACAATCAGTACAAAAAGGGCCTTAAAAGTGTCCTTTCAAAAGCTTATTTTTCTTCCGTGGTTTCTTCTGTGTTTGGTGCTTCTTTTCTGAAATCACCATCACTCAGATTGTCACTAATATAACAATGAAGGAATACTTCTGAGAGTCATGCTAGCTAGTTCTGCACAGCTGAGTGATAAAATAATTAGCTTTCTTTAACCTGTGAATACAGTCCTGAAAGGTTTTAAGTGAAATCATCCACTTACCATGCATACAATCAGCATTCTAATAAAATCCATCAAAACAGCATTAAAAAAAGAGCTGCCTATGACCATTAAATTGACATATGCTTCTTCTTTCTATAATGTGAAAGGTGTTTCAGCTTGCTGGCAGCAAGTGTAGTTCTGAAGAAGTCAGATGTCTGGGTGGCATTCGGTATCTGACATTTTTCCAAAATTTTGTATTTGTTGAATAAGATTTCTCTGTGAAGTCTCCTTTCCATCTAATGGCTCCATGCTTTTGCTTAATGTATTTAATTGATTCTGGCATGTTCGTATAGTCCTTTATTTTATCTAGTTCAATCAGAATGACTTTAATTCCATCCTGGATAAGAGCATTGTACATAGCCAGTTGCTGTTCAGAGATATTATCTAATAAACCGCAACTTGATGATTCCGGTGCTAATACAATTATAAGCCTTCTGCTCTGTTTAATGGTTTCATCAACAACATTGATCACAGCTGTAAAAGACAAAGAATGATCAACTTTTGGCTCATACAGAAGAATAGCTCTTCCCCCCATTAAAAATAGAGATTTAATTATGCTGGTGTAAGAGTAAGTAAAGTGGTAAAATCCCTCTAGAAGAGACACTGCTATACAGGTACAAAAGTGTCTATACCAGCATAGCATATATATGTAGAGAAGCAAAATAAGCTATGCAGACACATTCATACTTGTATAATTCTGGCAACACTAGAGCAGTTTTAGGTGTCAAGAAAACCACACACTTTTCCTATATAGGTATGCTGGGAACATTTTAGGTGTGTACTCCACACCTTACTTTGTGATACAGATTATTTGGTTTTTTTAAACCATGCAAAATTACCTACCATAGAGTAACTCAGGTTCCTCAAGACATGTGGCCCCTAGCTGTATTCCACTGTTCATACACATTTTGCATGCACCCAGAGCTGGAGAATTTTGAAAGCAGAGTCTATTGGTCTGCATGTGTGCCCTATCTCACCTTGTGCTGCCAAGCAAGAAGATAGAGAGTGAGGTGGACCAACTGCTTCTTCAGTTCCTTCTCTACTGCAAATCAGAGAACATCTGAAGCAGAGGGGAAGGAAGGCAAGGGGAGGAATACAGATAAGATCACACATCTTGAAGAATCTCCAGTTATTAAAAGGTTAGTAACATTCTCTTCAAGTGCGGGTCCCTATGGGTATTCACTGTGGGCGACTGACAAGCGATACTCAAACAGGAGGAAGGTGAGAGGTTGCAAATGAAGAACTGTACCAGAAGAGGAACCCTGTACCGAGTTATAGTGTCTCTCAAACTTGTGGATGGAGTTCCTCATAATTGCTTTGCAGGTGTCAAGTAGCAGCACCTCTTAAAGCAATGCTAGAGATGCTGCTTGTACTCTTGTAGAACGAGCCCTTAACTTACAGGGACTAGGGAACAATTAAACAGACTGAGTTCCATTCTGTGATTCTTTGCAAGAATATAGTCTGACCCCAGTATGTCCAGTGAAAAGCCCTCCCTTGGTACTGAAAAGCAACCTTCTTTGTCACTGCCTGCTGGAAGAGAGATTCCACTTTGTCTGAGAATCTTCTCTTGAGAGAGGACCCCTAGAGGGGGTGAGGAAGAAAGTTTTGGAGGAGGCAGGGAAATAAACTCAATCATACAGATAGATGCTAGAATATTTCAAAGCATCTATCATTTCTGAAATTACTATTATAACAAGTGGTGCCTTGCGCTTCTGCCTCTGTGTCATGATGTGACCCATGGGACCATACTGATGTGAATCTTTTTTGCCCTGCTCTAGTATTCAAAGAGAATGATAGAAAACTCAGTTCTACTTTAAAGGTAATGAGAGAATACAATCATTTTTCATGTTACCTTTTCCTGGTAAATCATCTCTTCCAAGTATAAACAGATTATACCCACATTTTCTCTCCAAGACCTCAGGAAGCATCTTTAGCACAAAATTATCTGCTGTGGAGATGCTATCTACGGAGCTGATTTTTGGATACAGTACATATGCATCGTAGATCTTCCCATCTGAAACAGCAAGATAGAAGCAATGAGATTGTAAGACAAAAATCATTTAAAAAGAATATTTTCCCACCTTTTCTATTTCACAGTTTATTGCATGAGTTAATTATTTGAATAGAACATTCAAATAACCATAAGTTATTTGTTAAGTGCTGAAAAAAATAATCACCAAAATTAACTGTATTTAATTATTCAGGCAAATTTAAAATTTCCCAAATTTACTGTTTTGCTACCTATTTATAACAAAAAGTACTAAGAGTTGGGGGGCTGCCTAGAAGTTCTTCACTGATGCATTAGAAAAGTGGTTCACATATCCCTGGGGGTACGCATAGGTCTTCCAGGACTACAACAACTCATCTAGATATTTGCATTTTAAAACAGGCTACATAAAAAGCACTGGCACAGTCAGTACAAACTGAAATTTCATACAATGACTTGTTTATACTACTCTATATACCATGTCAGTGATCCTCAAACTGGGGGTGAGTTCATTTAAATGGAGATACCAGAGACAGCATTAGACTCACTAAGGCCCAGGGCAGAAAACCTGAGCCCTGCCTTGTAGGGCTGAAGCCAAAGATCAAGTTCTTCAGTGAGGTAAAACTTGGCATACACAAAATAAATCAGACTGCTAAAAGGAGTACAGGCTGGACCTCCCTCATCCAGCACCCTCAGGACCTGACTGGTGCCGAACAAGGGGATTTGCAGAACAAGGGAAGGTCCTTCCCAACATGGCCTGTGTGTCTCCTGGCTAGGACTCCAGCTGAGCCCTGCTGCTTCCTGCCCGGCCGTGCCTCCCCAGGCTGGAGCTCCTTTGCATGCTGAGGTTCCATGGCTGCCAGGACTTTGGCTGCCGTGGCTTCGTGGTTGCCGGGGCTCTGCAGCCACTGCCGACCTCTGCTACCCCACCTGGTAGCCAGGGCCAGAACTCCCTTTTGTGCTGCCCGCCCTCCCTCAACATGGGCTGCTGGCTGAGTTGTCCTCCACCCCGTCCACACCTGCCCTGTGGCCCAACCTCCTTATACCATGTGGTCCAAGAAAATCCGTGGTCCTACCAGACCATGGATGTTGCTGGACCAGAGTGTCCCGGTTAAAGGAAGTACAACCTGTAGAAGAGTGTGCAAAGATTGAGAACCACCCTGACTTCTGTTCTAACACCAAGCAACCAACTACCTTATCAGCTGCAATAATAAGGCATTTCACATTTTCTGTTCAAAGTGCATGTAAGCTCAGATTTTCAAATGGCAGATTTCCTTTTTCGCTGGCACACACTACACTTGCCAAGACTGCACACATATTTTTTCACCTTCAATTAATTGTAAGTTCACACCTTACACGGTTATTATTAAAAAGCCCTCCAACAACCACACTTCCTCTCATGCTGTCTCTATGCCTCGTAGGAATCCCATTCCAATATACACAAAAGTACTGCACTGTCCTCTTTGGAGCCCCTCTTTCTCTGCTATGATACTTACACTGGACAATGATTAGAATTGTAGTGTTCTGTAGCCACTGCTTACCATGTTAACTAGTATCATTCCATTGGTTCCCAATGTTCCCCTTGGCTGTCTATTGTATCCACCTGTTGTCTATGCAGTCTTAAATTGTAAATTGTGCAGGACAGAGAATTATAATTTTGCTATATGTTTATACAGAGCCTAGCACAAGAGGTCTCTGGGCTTCTAGGTGCTACCACAATACAAATAAAAATGACACTACTAAGATGACTGTCCTGAAGTACTTTGGCACCTAAAAGAGAAGATTTGCACTAATATCTGATTGGGCATAAAATACATTGGAGAAGATTGAATCTGTAAAAAAAGGACATGGAGTAGAAGTCCTTCTAAAAATCTGGTACTCATTCTTGTCATCATCCATATTGCAAACACAATGCAACATACAGATGACAATTTAAAACAAGCTTGCTCATTCAAGGACATTTCCTGCCTCTGTTCCCCCTTAACAAAGGCTGCACAAAATAAATTTAGTTTCTTATTCTCATAAGAATTTTTAATGAATCCAGGGATTGTATGCCAGGTACCTTAGCTACATGGCCATACTCACCTACCTTCTTTACTCATAAAAGGATGACAGGATTTTCGATACCAAAGCACAATGTCAATCTTGAAGAACTTGTAGATTAATATGGCAACAACTGTTACAAACACTGATGCAAGGAGTCCTCCAATCAAGTATCCTTGAAAATTTTGAACTGTATAAGCAAAGGAAAATATGTAATATCTCAGTCAAGTTAGGACAAACAAAATTGTGTAGAATTTTATATTTATAACTATGTGAATAATTTATAACAAAAAATATGACATCTCTCCCCTTTCTGTTCAAGAACAATCTACAAACTGATCATGATTCTCTTTCATGTATTCATTATTCCAAATTATTTGACAAATAATTGCTGATAAGTAATTGCTCAAAGAATTCTAGGTCTACAGTTTGTTTATAAGCAGTTAATTGAAGGTATTCAATACTTGAAATTTATGGTGTCTTGACTGGACACATGGGAACACAGAATGTTTTGGTTCTTTAGCTGGAGAAGCACAGCTCTCAGAATGAGATGTCTGGTGCAAATTCAGAATTTGCTTTTCCATGTGTGTTCTACATCACTTGCCTTACCATTGCTGTTTTGGTGAATAACCTTGTAATTAAATCTATAGTAATTCCTTTGACCTTAACGAAGCTACTCCAGATTTACAATTATTTTAGTGCCTCTCTTCTGTCCATTATCTCACATTTTCATGCATTCTTAGTCTGTCCCTTTTCAATGTGTTCCCTTCATCTCCTTTTTAAATTAACTCCCAATCAATCACAAGAGTAGTTCAGAATATTATTAAGACTGAATGCCTAACCTGGCTGTCTTAATGCAATGTAGGCTGCAACTTCACCAGCAAAACACACAAAATGACGTCCGTAATCCTCCTGCTTCACTTCTGTGATGTTGAGCGTCACTGTAGAAAATAAGTACCCATCGGGGAAAGAATCTATTCTAATCAAAAAGGCAGTGAATAATTAAAATAATAAAAGCCACAGTAGGCGGGGTTTTTTTCATTTGAAAATAAAACTGGACAATGGTTATATTTTATCTTCAAAAATGTACCTGAATTTTTCAAAATAAACAGGTATCTGGAGTCTATAACTATAGACTCTTTGAATTAGAGAGATCTCGGAGCTCCAGTCAAGAACAGGGCCTCGTGTGTAGACACAAAGGGTGATAGGACCAGGAGCTCTCAATCAAAATAGACTAGATTTATTACACAAATTTAAGATGCTTACCTGGGGTGGGTAAATACTAGCCTGTGAGCTAGATCCAGTTCCCCAGGGTTAACCCTTGGTGGGCTGCCACCTCTATATTTACCTACGTGTCTGCAGGTATGGGCAATTACAGTTCCCAATGGCCGGGGAGCTGCTGGAAGTGGTGTCCTCCTCCATGTGGCCTTCTGCAGCTCCCATTGGCTGGGAATGGCAATCACTAGCCAACAGGAGTTGCAATTACCCATTCCTGTGGAGACGCGGGTAAATATAGCAGCCGGGCTAATGGCTGACATTTTATTGCCCACCCCAGCTATCATTGCCCAGTGACAAAGATTGACATGAGACAATTTCATATATAGACAGTGCTCTCAACTCTCATATTCAAACCATAATTTTGTATGCATACAGAAGATAAATGCAGTGGATAAGTAATAGCCAACTTCCATTTGTCAAGGACAAATCACACCAAACCAACCTAATTTCCTTCTTTGACAGAGTTACTGACAAAGTGGATAAGGGGAAAGCAGTAAATGTATCTGAATACCACCCACAACATGATTCAGTTGCAAAAAAGGCCAGTGTTCCAGGGTGAATCAACAGGAGTGTTATATGAAGGAGACAGAAGCAAATTGTTCTACGCTACTTGGCATTAGTGAGGCCTCTGCGGGAGTAGTGTGTCCAGTTTTGGAAGCCATACTTTGAGAAAGATACGAACAATCTGGAGAAAGTCCAGAGCTAAGGAACAAAAGGTTTAGAAAACACAAATGATGAAGAAAGATTAAAAAGCCCCACCTGGGTTTAGTTAGGCTTGAGAAAATAAGACTGAGGGGGGACCTGCTGGCAGTCTTCAAATGCGGTAAGGGGTGTTACAAAGGGGATGTTGATCAGTTGTACCCCTACTGAAGCTGCAGCACAGGAGCGTGAGGTTGCTACGAAAACCTTCCATCTATAAATGTAGGTAAGTACTGGAATAGGTCATCAAGGGAGATTATGGAATCCCCATTATGGGACGATGTTAACAACAGTTTATGCATACACCTGTCAGGGAAAGTCTAGGTCCTCCCTCAGCATAGGAAGGCTGCACTAGATGACCTTTCAAGCTCCATTCCCTACCCTATATTTCTGTGATTTTATTACAAAGTCTCATGATATTTGGCATTTTTTGGAAAGCTTCACCTCATGGAATTGAATAAATGTCTTGAGAATCTCTGTCTTCATTTATAAGGAAAAAAATTCTGCTCCTCATAGTTGAAGAGAAAAGCTTAAAAATATGACCCAAGCACACCTCCAAAACTCAAACCAAGAGACAAACAGAAAAAAACAAAACAAAATCTATTTTTATAAATCTCATGATTTTTTAAAGAACATTTTGCTTTCAGGGACCTAACTCATGACTTTTGAACTCTTGGGGCTAGCAAAACTGCTAGTACATATTATATTTTTTCAAAAGCATGTGAGGTTTCTATTTGTAGCTGTTAAACAGACTTCAAAATATGAGTTACTGAAGCAACTTTCAGAAATATTCTTCTTTGGGGTAGGTGGTGGAACCAATGCAGAGCGGTGATGCTTGGAGGTTATATCCCCTGAGCGGTGCCATGCCCAGTGCACAGATATTTTTTAAGCAGTATTTTCCAAGGCATCCATGTGATTGTTTATGCTAGGATCTATTGACGTTTAGCAGGACATATTATATGTCCAAATTGGTCTCACAGAAACACAGAATCAGGATCCATCATGGGGAGCAAAGAGAGGCATTACAAACACTAAAGGTATTTTCACACATTGCAGTCAGTGATCAACTGACATACATTTTTATGTGCAAATATACTTACTGATTTCCCTCTTGGACTCTTCCCATAAATGAATAATTGACTAAAGTATTATTGACTCTCCAGGATATACCAACTGAAATATCTTTAGCACTTGATACGTTGCAGTCCACGATAACATTGGACCCTTTAAAAAAGCATTAGAAAATCACCATGAGATAATATTTAGTTAGCATATTCATGAAACTCACTCATATGAAGGAGCATGGAAAACATTAGCAACCCAAACCTGTGAACATCTAAGAGCCATCTGACAAAGGTGGCGGTTGGCAGAATTATGAAGCTTTAGCAGATCCCTTGTCAGACCATCAGCCTAGCCATCTGTTTTATGAAAGCTAATTTAGCAAATTATAAAGCGACCAGTCAATTAATCCCTTTAGAGAATAAATAGAGAATAAATATATAAATTCTATTCTGATCAAAATGACCATAATTGCCTCTTACATATGACACACCTATGGATGAAATAAAGTTCTCTCTAGGTTGATGGCAGGGATAGGGCACCTGCAGCCCACAGGCTGGATTAGGTCTGTTGCTTCATTTCATCCTGCCTGCAGCAACTCTCTGTCCCTCCCACTCACAGGGCTGAAGTGATAACCGCTAGTTTGCCAGCATGTCTCTGCAACCCCTGGATGAAGGGGAAATCAGGGAAGTTCAATGTGTTGTCCCCGTCTCCAGCACCAACTCCCCAGTGGCCAGGAACCACGGCCAATGAGAGCATTGGCAGCAGCATGCACAGCACAAAGCTGACTGGCCTCTCAATCTGGAGGCCAGACATGGCAGCTTCTTCTGGGAGCAGCAGGGAGCAAGGGCGAGAAGCCAGCTTTCTCCCTCCGGAAACACCAACTGGGAGCTGCCTGGAGTAACTGCCACTCAGCGGGAGCTCACCATGTGAATCCCCTCCCACACGCCAACCTCCTCTCCCAGGTTGGAACTCCCTCCCACACACTAACTCCCTCTTGGAGCCTGCACCTCAAACCTCCTCCTGCATCACAACGTCTTGTTCCATCCTCAGCTCCACCCCAGAGTCCACACCTTCTGCCAGGGCCTGCAACTCCTTCTATACCCCCAAGCCCCTGCCCCAACCCTGTGCCCCTTCATGCACGCCAAAACCATTGGCCGCAGCCTGGAACCACTCCCCTGCACTCCAAACCCCTCATCCAAAGCCCCACGCCAGAGCCCATACCTCCTCCCACACCTCAACCCTGTGCATTCATTAGAAAGCATTTAAGAACATAAGAATTGTCACATTGGATCAGATCTAAGGTCCATCTAGTATAGTGCTCCACCTCTGACAAGTCAGTGTCAGGTGCTTCAAAAGGAACGTATGAGAACCTTGTGGGAGGAAAATGTGAGATAAAATATGAGAGTAGTCAGACATGGACTAATTGAAGCGTGGGGTTTAATATCCCTCCCAAAATAAATCATATCATCAACTGTAAAAAGTGTGGCTATTTTTGTTATTTCTAGCAACATTCAAAACAGTTTTTGAACTCAAAGATTTCCTTTAACAGCAAGCTCTGCAATTGAATTACATGTTATGCAAAAGGCAACTTAGTTTCAAATCTGCCACTTCTCATTGTGTTAGGAGACAAGGAGGACAGAAGCTCTTCCCTTCCATATAATTTACTACTGTGTATGCTTTTTTCTATCTTCAGGTTTTATACTGCTGCCCATCACCATGCCATCTAACCATCTTCCATGTGAAACCAATAGTAGTAATACAGTCCCAAACAGACAGTGCAGACTCTGGCACTTTTCCCTTTTTGGAATCAAAACACAGCTATCAGAAAGAGGCAGCGGGGGGGGGGGGGGGGGGGGGGGAGGGGGGGGACTTGTTTGTTTTTGGGGAGGACTTCTATCAGAATTTCTTATTCATTTCCTTTCTAAGATGAACAATCGAAATCTATTCAAGATTGCTTCATAAAGAATTTTTCCACAGCCCTAATTGTTCTCATTGGCCTTGTCTAAACTTCCCTTTTATTCTCCTCATGGCAAGTTGGGGGGGGGGGGGGGGGGGGGGGAGGGGGGGGACTTGTTTGTTTTTGGGGAGGACTTCTATCAGAATTTCTTATTCATTTCCTTTCTAAGATGAACAATCGAAATCTATTCAAGATTGCTTCATAAAGAATTTTTCCACAGCCCTAATTGTTCTCATTGGCCTTGTCTAAACTTCCCTTTTATTCTCCTCATGGCAAGTTACTCAATATTTATGTAGGATGGTCAAACAATAACAAGTAGACCACTTAGCAGCTGCTACTTCAACCATGTAAGAAGCTCAGCCACAGCCTCAGCTTTTTTAGCAATCCCAACAAGATTGACAGGAGATAAATGAGGAATTGCCCCCTTTTTAATAAAAAGAAGACTATAAATGGAGATTCAATGAATTTTGAAAAAATACTGGAAAGATTTCCCAAACTCAAGTAGTTGGAGGACCACAACAAAGAGGTTAAGCGCTGAAAATGAGACAAAATACTTTACATTTTATAATGTACTCTAAGCCAATTTCTTACCAAGTTCCACTTCAATTGTATTGTTTCTTGGATAAAGAATTTCAGTTCTCTTATTCGGTGGAGTCTCTAAAATTAAAAAAAAATGCATAAAAACAAAATTTTATCAGAAATAATCATAAGTAATGGCAAAAACATCTAGTGCGGCACTAACTTAGGAATACCACTAACTGCAAAACAAGGATACAAAACTGTTGCCTGTAGACCGTACTGTTCTTTTGCAAAGAACAGCATCTCAAACCTTTTCAAAAAAGTATTTTTCTATATGTTTGCTTTGCATTTTCTTGTTCTTTTCTTTCTGAAAAACCTCCATAAAACAATAAACAGATTGGCTACGTCTACACTGGCCACAATTTCCGGAAAAGCCATGCAAATCAGGTAAGTCAGGATAGGGAAATCCGCGGGGGATTTAAATATCCCCCGCGGATTTAAATAAACATGTCCGCCGCTTTTTTTCCGGCTTGGGGAAAAGCCGGAAAAAAAGCGTCTAGACTGGCGCGATCCTCCGGAATAAAGCCCTTTTCCGGAGGATCTCTTATTCCTACTTTGAAGTAGAAATAAGAGATCCTCCGGAAAAGTTTCCGGAAATTGTGGCCAGTGTAGACGTAGCCCTCCTGTGTAAGATTATTTCCCATTCTGTTTTAATGCTGTAGTACAGCATATTATAGAGAAAAAGAGATTTGATCCCATCAGATTTTGGTACTTAGAAGGCTTTTCAAACTTCTGTGAAAGTGACTGAACACAACAATGATATGCGGACTAAAAGAATAGAAAGCTTCTTGTACTTCTGGCTTGCCATACACATCGACAGAAACATATCCAGGGCCAGACCCAAAATATCACTATACTTTTACTCTCCTTGCTGCTTCCCAATTTGTAGTAACCAGGATAGCAGTCCTCTACTTAATCCAGACAATTAAAAAAGAGATGAACTACAAATACCAGAAATACTAACAAATAACTTAACAGTAGTAGTTTTGTAGAAAAATCAGAACAGTTTTCCTGTAAAATAGTTTTGCTTAATTTGTGATGGATAACAATCATAGACAGGGCTTGACAAATAATGCAATCTACTCGCCACAGGTGAGTAGATTACAACCCGGAAGAGCCAGGTTTGGGCGATCTGCGCATGCGATCTGTGGTTTGGCGAGCCCTGATCATAGAATCATAGAGCTGGAAGAGACCTCAGAAGGTTATCAAGTCCAGTCGCCTGCTCTAGGCAGGACCAATCCCAACAAGATCAACCCAAACTTATGCTAATTAAACCTTTGTACTACACCACACTATCACATTTCTTATTCTTACAGCCGTGTAAGCTGGTCAGCTTGGGGAAGGGCACCTTCCCTTCGGAGTCAGTGGGTGGCCACTCCAACCCATTACACCCGGATCTGTCTCTAGGGGGAAATTAACATATCAAATAACCAGTCCGGGGTCCCCCGCTCTTACCTCAAGGTGGGGTGACAAAAGTAACCAATAACAAAGGTGGCCTGGGCTTGGGCAGGCCAACAAATGATAGGCAGAGGCCCGGCCTTAGTTCAGGGCAGGCCACCAAGTATGTGGTGAGGAAGGCCCAACCCTAGTTCAGGGAAGGGCCGCCGGTAAACAGTTTGTGGCCCTGTAGCCCGACCTTCGGTCAGGGCAGGGCAGCAGTTTATAAGCCCAGTCCTTGGTCAGGGCAGGGCGGCAGGCAAAGCAGTTTATAAGCCCAACAGTTAATCAAGGCCCAGCCTGGTTCAGGGTGGGGCAGCAGGAAAACAGCTTGTAAAGGCCCAGCACTAGCTCAGGCGGGGCAGTAAGGAAGAAGTCTAAACAACGTATACAATTGGGCCTCCTTGCTCAGGAGGGTTGCAGGCACCTTGCCAGCAATGGCGGAGAGGGGAGGCTACCACACAAGCGATGGGTAGTGGGTGGGAGGGGCACAGGCCCGCCCACTCCACTGTGCCCTGGCCCAGGGCCCTAGAGGCAGCAGTTTACTGCTGCTGAATCAGCGGGGGCACCAGCCCGAAAACGGGCATGTCTATGTCCATGCTGTCACCTGGGCTTCTTCCCTCCTCCCCCTCAGTGCGTACCT